TAAAGGTCCATGGCAAACAGGAAGTCATAATAAGATTAATGAAGAAGCAAGGCCAAGTCAATATGAGGAATTTGAAGAGCCAAATGAGTCTCTCCGAAGGTCGACAAGAAGAAGGAGGCCAAACCCAAAGTATGCAAATGTGGCACTAATGGAAGACAATGAGCCAAAAGAACCAGTTACTTTCAAAGATGCCTCACAAAGTCCCGAATGGAAAAAGGCAATGGAAGAGGAGATCAAGGCCCTTAGAGAGAACGAGACTTGGGAGTTGGTTCCTAAACCCAAAGAGGTATGTCCAATAACTTGTAAATGGGTTTATAAGTTGAAAACTCGGCCAGATGGATCAATTGAAAGATATAAAGCACGCCTAGTCACTCGAGGTTTCTCTCAAAAGTATGGCCTTGATTATGATGAGAATCATGAGATGTTCAGCCTAGTAGCGAAGATCACTACTGTACGAGTCCTACTAGCACTAGCAGCAAGACAAACTTGGAAGTTGTGGCAAATGGACGTCAAGAATGCTTTCTTACATGGAGAGCTAGATCGAAGCATCTACATGGAGCAACCTGAGGGATTTATAAGCAAATCACATCCAGAGTTTGTGTGCAAACTCAAAAAAGCATTATACGGATTGAAACAGGCACCACGAGCATGGTATGGGAAGATAGCTGAATTCTTGGTACAAAGTGGTTACTCAATTGCTCCTTCTGATTCAAGCTTGTTTGTGAAGTATATCGGTGGGAAAGTATCGGTCATATTGATATATGTGGACGATCTAATCATCACCGGGAATCATGAGAAGGAGATCAATGAAATACGAGGAAATTTATCAGTGAGGTTCCAAATGAAAGAACTTGGAGAACTACAACATTTCTTGGGCCTTGATGAGGTTGAACGTACTAAAGAAGGAATATTCTTATGTCAACACAAGTATGCAAAAGACATACTTGAAAAGTTTGGGATTCTTGATTGCAAACCAATATCAACTCCAATAGAGCCGAATGTGAAGATGTGCACAATTGAAGGTCAAGAATTGGAGGACTCCACAATGTACAGACAATTTGTTGGAAGTCTTATCTACATAACAATCACAAAGCCGGATATCATGTTTGCGGTAGGAGTAGTGAGTCGGTTCATGGAGAAGCCAAGGAAGCCACACTTAGATGCAATCCGGCGCATAATGAGGTACGTAAAAGGAACTTTGGATTTTGGCATATTTTATAAAAGAGATGCATCATTTGAAGTGATAGGCCATTGTGATGCTGATTATGCTGGAGATCATGAGACTCGTCGCTCTACCACTAGTTACACATTTAGTCTTGGAACAGGCACAATGTCATGGTGTAGCAAAAGACAACCAACAATGTCATTATCAACTACAGAAGCAGAATATAGAGCAGCAGCAATGGTAGCTCAAGAGAGTGCATGGTTGATGCAACTTCTAAAAGATCTTTATCAACCAACTGAGGAGCCAATAACATTACATTGTGATAACCAATCAGCAATACGACTCGCGGAGAACCCAATCTTTCACACAAGAACAAAACATGAGGAGGTTCATTATCATTTCATACGAGAAAAAGTCCTTAAGGGAGATATTGAGATGAAATACATCAGGACAGAAAATCAAATTGCTGATTTGTTCACCAAAGGACTAAACACTACGCAGTTCGAGAGCTTGAGGGATCAACTTGGCATGGTTCCAAGATCTGCAATAAGATAGAGTAGTCGTTCAGGGGGAGTGTTGAAAAGTCAACGACTCTCTAGAATCTTCTATAAACTTCTTCTAGGAAGTGTAGAATTATCTAGATAGAGTATTGAATAAGAGTTAGATAGAAATACTCTAGAATGTAATAGATGTGAGAATAATCTAGAATGTAATTAATGTGGGAGGTTCTAGAAACACTCTCACATCCTTAGGCTAGCTAGTATAAATATAGGTGGATGGACACAACTCCATCACCACCAAGTGAGTGAAGCATTCTCAAGAGTGAGAGTAAGAGAGACTAAACTTGTCGCATTCTCAAGTGCGACAAATGGTATCAGAGCGGGTCGTGCTTATATTGTCGCGTGTTGTGGTGGGGTCCTCGTGAGGGACGAGGACTATGCGAGCATGGTGGCCCTAGGGCTGGTACATGCTGATGACTGCTCCACTCCTGATGGTCCGCAGGGGCGAATGGGTTCCTAAGAGGATGGGGACTCGGGTGGCCACCAGCACGGCCGGGCTGCTTGAGAGTGAGGCGGCCCTGGTGATGCGGCGCGTTGACAATATTAAGCATGGCAGTCCTTGGGCAGAGTCATCTCCCCTAGCACGAGGGCGTGCTAGAGTTTGAGTGGGGGAGAGTGTCACGGACCGTTGTTCGTGACCGTGTTAGGCTCAATGAATGGGACGGACCGACTGGCTAGCTGGACGGGCGAGGCATGGGGGAGGCAATAGCGTCAAGGGGAGTTCTGCCTTAGACGCTAAGGTCTGGCCGAGTCGGGCATGTAGGGCTTGACTATGAAGGAGATGGAGGCGGACATGAAGGCACAACTGGTCGGGAGCTATTGCCGTTCCCCTGATGAGCCCAAGGCAGGGCGAAACCAGTCCGGTCCCGTATGAGAGCGAGGCTTGTCCGCGGGGTGAGGGACCCCGGGACGCCGCACGGGCGCTGTGCGCTGCGCCAGACTCTATGCCCGTGACATTACCATGCTTTAATTTATATAGGTTGAGATGAGAAACTGAATTTTTCCTATTTTGATTTACATGACAAGGCAGTGGGGACTGAGATAAGCTGCTTACTGAAAATGCTGATAGCTTATAAGCTAACTACTACAGTATAAATTAAAACTCCATAGCTTTTAAATTAGTATATTATATACGCTAGATAGCTGCTACTTTAAAAAATGTAAAATACTAGTGGCTGATAAACCATTCTGTAGCAGATATACTACGTATAAGTTAATAACATATAAAATAAAGTACAAGTAGCTTATTTTAAAAAATAAGTGATTCTAAAAGCTTGTTGAATTAGCTCAAGCTTTTCAAATAAGTTGCTCCAAAATTGTGCTGATTTTAAAAAATGCTTAGCAAAACCTAATGGCTACTCCATAAGTTACCTTAATTTTTAATCATTGTCATTGTTGTTAATTTTTTCTCTTTTGGTTCATTTTGCTTTAATTTTTATATTTTGCCAGTCACCTCATCCTCATTACATGTTTACATATCAAACATATTTTAGTCAATCCACTTCAGTTCAAATAATATTTCACAAGACTATGCCTATGTAAAGTCAACTCTTTAAAGTCGTCTCTGTGATTACTTCTTTGGATGTTTACACGACTATACCTCTGCAATGGATATATACTAAATAAGTCTTCTTCTTGGGCATTAATGCAGGGGTGATTTGTATTGGACAGAAAGAATTTCGTAAAGCCTTGGAGCTTTTTCATAATGTATGACTGCATTATATTTAAGTTTTAGTCAAGCAAGAAGAGAAATATGATTTTTTTTCGGTTATGGTAGTATGATTCAAATTCACAAATCACAAGCCCTAATTATAGGCTAGCTTCCTGTGACTTTCAATATGATCAATCTTGGAAAGAACATTGACATATGGCAATTCCAAATGTAGCATGGTTGATAATCACAACAGCAATACACCCACATGCTTTCCAGGATCACTACAAAGATGCGGATCAACTAAATATAGAGGCCGTTTGGTAACACAGTTTTTCGGTTTATCAGGCTTATCGACCAGTTTTTTCACCAACACGTAATTTTTGCTTTCGCGCGCTGAATTGTGTAATAAGCAAAAAAAGTAAGGTTAATGTTACTTTGCTGGCTGTATTGGCTGAAGTAACTGTAGATGACCATTTTAGCTATTTTTACATATTTTTTTTCTTATTTTATTAATAAAATACTACGTATATTTTAATTTTTTTCTTCAATCAGCAGAATCAGCCGATGCAGGCACTTCAGTCAGAACTTCATAAATTTTAGCAGAATCAACCAAATCAGCCGATTTTCGTGCTACCAAACAGCCAGAACTTCATAAATTTCTTCATGAACTAAGATTTAACTTCTTGATGAGTTTCATTATCACGGTAGGGGCGTTTAACCTTTTTGGCGTTTTCATGTAGAAAAAATAGCTCTACCTGACTCTGAAAATCAAAGAGAATGTAGTGATCTTTTTGTATGGGTTTCAACCTGAGACATGCCATTTCAGTGAATGGTTTTGTCGGAGCCGGGAGGATCAATCACTATCTGACCTAACACCATTCCAGTTTTATAAAATTTCTCTCTGGGTTTCGCCGAGCCGGAAGTGTGTGGTGTCAACTGATGTAACGGGACAGAGGTTCTCCGACAGAGGGGAGTTCCCCCTTTTGGCTTTGTTCCTTCTGGCCTTAAGCGCTATAGAGCTTCGCAGATTTCTTTCTGCATTTTGCGCGATCGTAAGATTAAAGAGAGGTTAACGTCCAGGCCTTTGTAAAATAAGGGTAGTTTAGATAATTGAGATGGTTTTATTTATTCTAATTTAATTAAGTGGCTTTGTTTAGTAAAAAGCGGGATGTGAATAAAATTTCTCTTCAGGAATATGCAAGGGGAATTGTGAAATTGTCGCATTGATTCATTCAACAGATACTCTAAAATATAATTCTTGAAATCAAATGTTCATTTTTATATCCCATAAAAATACGTAGTACACATACCCTTAGAACAACACTGGACTACAAAACATTTCCAAACATGACCTTTAGTATTAAAAACACAACTTTAGGACATGAAGATGGTTATCAAGATTTCATCTAGTCTCGTCACAGAGGAAACATTATTGAAAAATGAGACGCCAACTACACACAGATTAAATATGGTCAACTTATTTATAGAGCAGTAAATTAGAAGCCTGTTATCTCAAATAAAAAATTAGAAGCCTGTTGTGCCCTGTGAACAAAGAGCAAAATAAAGTCTTCCTTTGATTATTATATCATCCTATTAGGAATTTGATCATTTAACATAAAATTGCGTTCATATATAGGCCGGAGTTCAGAAATCGTTTACATACCCATTTATTAGCAGAGATATTCATTTATAACTCAACCAACTCACAAATTAAAGCTATAAAGTTATAAAGTTTAAAATAACAACGAGAATCTCTGCTAATATATTCAACTTACACATTACTTAATATAATAAGTAATATCTACTTCTTTATGGGCACGCAGAAAGCACATAAGGGTCTCTATATCTTCAGATGGATTGTCGTCTGAATCCATATAATTTGAAAAAAATAGAACCTTCTCAAGGGCAGGAAAGCGGCAAAGTAGCCATTTGAAGAATGTCATTTTAGGACTTGACCCATGAAACCAGCAAACAATACTTAAATCCCGAATTGTATCGAATGTTTGGGCCAAAGTATGCTCAGGGACCATCAGTAGGTCTTCTTCACTTGTAAACCTTGCCCCGAACTAAGGGAAAATGCATCGCAAAACAACAAATAGAAAAATCAATTTAACATTCAAAGATCAAGACTGAATTGAAATGCAACAGAAAAACTCGAGAGATTATTATTCACGAAAGAGAAGATTACCGTTAAATGTATATCAAGTTTGATTAACATTGGGCACATCCGCAACAAGTGTAAGAAAGTTGATATGTTATCCGAATACTTGTCATTCAAGCGTAGCTTCAGGTGTTCCACATTTAGTGTAGTCTGTGCTTGACCAATTCTAGATAGCTCTTCAACAAACCTCTTCAAAAAAAATTCAAATTTGAATTGTTGAAGTGTCTTCTTGTGAACATAAACGAATAGTAACTTAAGTGAAGTGACTAGAAAAGCACATATATATACCCCAAGTCCAATATTTCCAATATGAAGATAGCGTAAAGTTCCCAAGTCGAACTTAACAGGAAGAATGAGACAAGAGTTTGTTCCAGCAATGTTAGAATACCGACGAACACAAAATTTCAAACTTCTAAGCATTGGGGCAGTAAAGTCAAAACCAGAAATGCTTTCACAGGTTAGATTCCTAAGCATAGGCAGTTCAACATGAGAACATTTTGTTTGATCAAACTTGACATTTTCTAAGAAAAGTGAAGTAACATTCGGGAATATGCAAGGGGCTCTAATTTGGGGAAAAAGGACTCCTGAAAGATGCAGTGTCTGTAGCGTTAGGCAAGAAAATATGCAATCTGGCAATACGTATTGAGTACATGAACAAATAGAAAGATGTATTTCCTCGACTCCTTTTCGGGTGAGACGATGTAACATTTCATCAAAGTCCAACCACGTAGACATCTTATTCATACATCTTATCATGTAAAAATCAAACTCAAATTTTCGAATAGGTCCTTTGTGCTTGATGATGATTGTCTTGATTATGAGTGTTGTTAATGCTTCCATATGACGGCTCCGAAGGTAAATGAAGAAGTGGCTGTCAAAGTTGAGGTGTGGAAGACTTAACCAAGCATCTCTCAAACTCGTACACAAAATGGCAGATATAGCAGCTTCTCGAATCCGCAATAATCCTAAAATATGGGCTAGTATATCCAGAGGAAGTCCACTGATTCTGTCTTTCACCCTCATAGCAGATAAATTTACCATACAAAACCGAAATTCAAAGTAGAAAAAAGATGTCAAAATGTCTTCAGAAATCCTGCAATGAATATGCAATATAATTCCTTATGCCCGTGGCCCAATTAAGATATTCACAATCCAAATCCTATGTCGCGAAAGAGATTTCGAAGCGTGAAAGCTCAATTTCCCAAGGACAGAGGCGGAAAAGTCATATTCTCTCACGAACCTAATTCCAGTTCACAATCGGCAATTTGGCATACAATCCCTCTTTTAATTCTTCACACAAAATTAGCATTTTTCTTCTATGAGAATAGGTCTAAAATAAAATTCACAATTTTACTTTTGGTAACTTTTTAATACCGATATAAACTTACCTTTTAAAAAAATATATAAACTTACTCTTATACACTTACTTTATTATCCATATTACACCACTTTATCTCGCCTACTAGACTATCCACTTTTTGGGGCATAATGGAAAAGTAAAAAAGTTCACTTTCTTAAAAATCGTGAAGTCAAACTATGAAGTTGTTTTACGACCGGAGAGAGTATATACTAACTTCTTGAAAAGTTGCAATAATTTGGCTATCACGTTTATTAACGCACAACTTTGATTGTAATTATATTTGAATATGTATTAGTAAACATTAAATGAAGTTAATATTTTGGAAACTTACATTAATAAAAATTTAATATCATTTTATACATAAAAATTTGATTATATATATTATTAAAAAGTCGTATCAAAGTAAGATGTGTGAATAGTGCAAAATATCAATATTGCAACTTTTAAAAAAACAAAGAAGTAGTTAGCACGATACTTGAGTAGGTACCTAACGGTGTATACGGAAAAGTTCATGATACTATAGGTATATAGGATACTCCTCTACGTTTCCGGAGAGTATCATACTTATGGTTTATTAAAAGTTTCCAATTTTTATGTAAGAGAAAATTACCCAATAGGAGTAAAACAATGCATTTGTGCAAAAATAAGAGTCCAGGTTTCGTATGTCATGTATAAGAGTAAGGACTTAAATTGACGAAAATAACCTTAATGAAGCTTCACGCGTGCAAGCTAATTGACAAAAATAACCTTAATGAAGCTTCACGCGTGCAAGCCCATTCCGTTGTTCAAGTTTAATATAAAACTCATTTAAGATCAATTCCAATAACCACAAGGATTCCTCACCAACAAAGTAGACTGCCCTTATCTCTGAAAATCACAAGCTCAAACAACAAAATTACGTAAGAAAAAGAGAAAAGGGAAAAGAATGGAAAGAAAGAGAGAGGGAGGAGAGGTAACTATGTCAGCGTGGCTGCTGCGTTCGTGCTGAAGGAGAAGGGCGGGGGGCGAGTGGTGACGATGGTGACGAGTAGCGAGCGGGAAGATGGTGATGAGTAGCGAGCGGGGAGAGAGGGGGGCGAGTGGTGATCGAGCGGAGGCGATGAGTAGAGCATGGTAAAAAGGAAGTTCGAACAAGTGAAGCGAAGCGAGATCATAGAAGCACACAAACCCTACAACAAGGAAAAGCCCGACTTTGTAGATTCAATTAACCATGGTTCATCTCTACAGTATTTTGGTATATATTTTTACTCTGGATCTGATTTCATATTACCTAGCCTATGTCTCACTCAACTAACTAACTTTATATTGGGTGTGAAATAAGAAAAGTAACAACTGTGAAATGAGATTTGTGCAAAGTAGAGAGAAATGAACAAAATCACAAATTCATATTTTAAAATAAAAATGACAAAGTTTTGTTGGATATAGAAAAAAAAAAGTTGGGAGAGTCAAGTGAAATGGAGATAGTAAATAATTTATTATTTAGCATTATTTATGAAAAAAACCTCTGATTGACATAGTTATTGAGAAATTCAAATCTGGTTGTGATTGATATAGAAAAAGAAGAATATTACCGAATAATCAATCTATCACACAATACATTCTATAAATAGAAATGAGAATAGAATATTATGGTTGTGATGACTTGAATAACTTAAATATTTATTGGTTAATTTTGATGAAAAGAATATTAAAGTTTTTATATGAATTTATTTTATGTTAATAAATTTGATAGAGTATTAATTCTAGAGAGAAGTGAGAGCCAGAGAGAGAAAGCGAGTAATTATATTTCTCAACCTGGAACCCCCTATAATTAGCCCCTTGGGGTCTATTTATAGGTAAAAATGCGGATTTGGGCCCCTAGCCTTGGGCTTAGGAGGCCCATTACAATAATCATGCCTTCTTTAGGCGAAATAAGGCCACTAATGGGCTGAGTACAACACTTAGTATATAAAATAGGAAAATACATTCTGCCTGGACGGAGTCCGGACGATACGGTCCATGGACGATGCGGTCCATGGACGATGCGACCCATGGACGATGCGACCAATGGACGATGCGGTCCATGGACGATGCCGTCCATGGATGACGCGGATTCTGGGCTTCACCCCAAAGAACCCGGGTGATGTCTTCTCTCTTGGACGTCGCGCGCTTGTGGCCGATGCGGGTGTCCCGCTGGTGTTTTTTGGGCCGTTGAGTATGTGGGCCATGGGGTCCAGGCCCATATACTCTATCAGGAGTCCCCCACTCTCTGAGCTGAGGTGAAGCCGAAGCGAAAGGGAGTACTTGTTCCTTTCTGGATGGCCGCTGCGTGGCCCTGAGGTTCTTGATGGCAAAAGAGTCTCTGCTTCGATTTTGGACGAAGCGGTTCCCTTATTTGATGTGGCTGAAGCGCGCTTGGGAGTTCATAGTCTTGATGCGGGCCGATGCGCTCTCTGTGGAAGTGCTTTTGAAGACGAGGCGATGCGCTTTTTTTGTAGGTGATGTGATGAATTCTAGGGGGTAAAGTGGCCAGTTTCATTGCCATTTGTTGGGGCCGGAGAGCTTCCTTATGACTCCTTGGCCGCAGCGATATCCTTGTCTTATGAAGTGAGGATGGTTGATTCTGTCTATGTGGACGATGCGATGCACACCTTTGACTTGCCATGCAGCCGAAGCGTTTTGCCTTGTGGTTTTTTGCTTTGGTGAGCCGACGCAGTCCCCCAGCGTGTGTAGCCGTTGCGCTAGATTTTTTATTTTGGGTTTCTAATTCCTGGGCTCTGTAGCCGATGCGATCCTTAGTGCTTTTGTTGCTGGCAAGCCGTAGCGCACCCTTTGCATTAAGGCCGTTACGTTTTCTTTTCTCGTGGCCGATACAGTCCCCCAGTCCCCCACTCCTTTGGCCGAAGAGTATCTGAGGCACAAGGGAGTAATGGGCTGATTCGGTACCTATGCGTTGGTCGTGATTCCAACCCTTAGGCGGACCTGTCCAAGGTAACCCTGTGGGAGAACCCTTGGACGAAGGCCGCAATGCCAGGGTTATCATCGACGATGCGCGCACAAGCGGCCGTAGAGGTCTATTAAGGTTCCTTGGGTTGCTGTGAGGACGTTGAGTTTAGGCCGATGCGTTCCTTTTTTGGGAGAATGGGCTGATGCCTGTTCCGGAGCTTTGTAGTAATTGAGCCGTAGCGGTGCTTGGCCGATGCCTTGCTCTTTGTGGGGTTGAGTTGGGCCGTAGGGGTGTACTTCCATGAGTGATTTTGAATTGGTGTCCCTTGATTGGTAGGGAGAGAGGTGGCCGTTGGTGGAGCTAATGGGGTGGCGCCACGTGTAGTGACCGTTGGAAGTTTTCTATAAATACCTCCCTATCCCGTAGCCGCGACCCCATTTGCGTTTGCTAGAGTTGAAGTGCTGCTGAGATTTCTAGAGAGATAAAGTGCTTCCCAGAAATCTTCAAGTGTTCTTCGGATCTTCACCCACTCCAAGGTTAGGTTCTTGAATTGTTCTCCCTTTTTTCTTTATACTTTGCTTCCCAGGGGGTTAGATCTAGTGTTTCTAGGGAAAATCACTTTGATCCTCGAACAATCCTTAGGACGTAGCATAGTTGTTATGCCGTTCCCTGATGGCCGTAGCGTCCCCTCCCCTCTTAACTTAACAGCTTCTTTAGACGAGTCGGACTGGCCTTTTGACGACGAGGACCCGTCTCCTGGAGTGAATCTTGAGATAGTTCGGGCGTTTGAAACAGAGATGGAGAATACTGCCGATTACCGCACTTCTCAGGACGAGGAGCGTCTGAATGATGATGCGGGTTCCCAACAATCGGGCGAGGACGAGGCGAGCTCGGAACCCAAGCTTCGGGGAGACGAAGCGGGTGATGCCTCTTCGGCCGCCATCCCCTGCCCTCCACCTATTTCGTCTGTGCCAGGTGGGGCGTCGTCTTCTAGGGTTACCAAGAAACGCGCGTCGCGTCGGAGGAAAGCTGCGGCTGGCGGGTTGTCCCAATTGGACTTGACAAATCTGTATGTTATAAGGCCCGAGAGCACCCGAGGTGATTATCATTTGGCTCAGCTGTATGTTGGGCCTTATGGAAAGGTGAGGGAGCCTAGGCCGACGGACCATGTTCTGGATCCTCCTCCTGGGTACTTCGGGGTTTATCCGATGGCGTTCTCGCAAGGACTACGATTTCCGCTGCCCCCTTTTGTGATTGAGTACTTGAGGATGGTAGATCTCCCCCCGGCGCTGTTGACGCCGAATAGTTTCTCACTGATCGTTGGGTTCCTCATCCGATGCGACGAGCTGGGTTTTGAGCCCACGACGGCCCTTTTTACAAATTTGTTCCGGATCGGCCGAGGGAGCCATAAGAATTGTGCTGGTTATGCTACGCTTCAGCAACTCCCGGAGAAGAAATCTTTCAAAGACCTCCCTTCGTCTATCCATGGGTGGAAGGCGAAGTTTGTATTCGTGAAGTTGGCCGATGGGGTTTTCTTTCCTTCGCAAGGGCATAATGGTAATTTTAGCCTGCATAATCCGCCGCGAAGCGCTGAGCTCGATGCCCAAGTTGAGGCATTCCTAAAAGGTGGGCCGAGGAGTGTGAACACGTACATCACTGAGTTCAAGATCGCGGCTCTCGGGATGATGCAGTATTACATTCCTGGCGACCCGGATTGTGGATTGTGGCCGAGGATCTCTGGCTCTTTTGAACAGGCCGATGGGCCACTTCTTGGGATTCCGGCCGAGGCCGAAGGTTGACACTTGCCTTTGAATCTCTTTGTACTTAGTATTTTTTTGTGTCTAATCCTTTCTTGTGGTGTCGTCCTTGCAGGTTACGAGATGAGTCGCAAAATGTTCATGGCCCAGGCCAAGAAGCAGGTTGCAAAGGAGCTGGAGGCTGCCCAGCGAGCTGACGCGTCCAAGGGGTCCGGTGACGGCTCTAAGTCTCAGGCCGA